AGTTAGAGATGGTTTCTCTTCTTGGCTTTTTATGTCTCACTGATTTTCATCTTCCACATCCTGCAGTGCTTCTTTATTCTGCTCTTCACCATCACCCTGCATGTCTGAAGTCCATAGTGTCAGATTATCACGTAACAACTGCATGATAAGTGTAGAGTCCTTATAGCTTTCTTCACTCAGAGTATCCAGTTCTGCAATAGCATCATCGAAAGTTGCCTTTGCCAACCTGCAGGCACGGTCAGGGGAATTAAGAATTTCATAGTAGAATACGGAAAAGTTGAGAGCAAGACCTAAGCGGATTGGATGCGTTGGTGGAAGTTCTGTCATTGCAATATCACTAGCAGCTTTATAAGCTACTAGGCTATTCTCAGCAGCCTCTTTCCTGTCATTCCCTGTGGCAAATTCAGCCAAATACCTGTGGTAGTCGCCTTTCATTTTATAATAGAAAACCTTGGACTCGCCAGTGTTAGCTGCTGGAATAAGGTGTTTGTCCAGTACATCCAGAATGTCACAACAGATTAACTTTAGCTCAGTCTCAACCATTTGCCGATATTCCCGAATCATTTTTAGTTTGTCTTCTCCTCCCTTGTTTTCTTCTTTCTGTTCAATGCGGCTGATTATTCTCCAGGAGGCTCTTCTTGCTCCTATCACATTTTTATATGCAACTGATAGGAGGTTTCTTTCTTCAACTGTCAATTCCACATCCATCCCTGCTACTTTCTTCATTGATTCCACCATTTCGTCGTATCGCTCAGCCTGCTCAGCCAGCTTCGCCTGGTACACCAGATCCTCCCGATCATCCATAGCGGCGGTGACTCAAGCAGGGTGTGCGCGACGGATGGAAGCGGATAGCGTCTCCAACTCTCTCAGCTTCCCACTCCGCGTCCGGGCAGCCCACTCTGTACTTTTGTAATGACAGGAATACCCATTCATATATCCCTTTTAAACAGTTCTCTCCCTCATCTGTTTCAATGCAATATACATCATTCCTCCCCTCCTTTGCTGTCTTCCCTCAACCCTGATGTCTCATTTTACAACAGTGGCCCTATGCAATATTTGTCCTTTTGTGACTGAGATATTTCACTCAGCATAATGTCCTCCAAGGTCACCCATTTTGAATAATATTGCATGAGTTCCTTGTTTTTCAATGCTGCATTGTATGTATTTCATTGTGTAAATGAATATACCATAACTTCTCTATCCATTCATTTGTTGATGGGCACCTGAGTTGTTTCCAGCTCTTTGCTACTGTGAACAAAACCGTAATAAACACGGGTCTACATATATCTGCTTGGGTGGCACTTATGGTTTCTTTAGGGTAAATTCCCAGTAGTGGAATTGCTGGGTCAAATGATATTTCTATTTGCAACTTTTTGAGAAAGCGCCATACTGCTTTCCATAGGGGTTGCACCATTTTACACTCCCACCAACAGTGAATAAGTGTTCCAGTTTCTCCACAACCTCGCCAGCATTTGATGTTTGCTGTTCTGTTAAATTTTGCTATTCTGACTGGGGTGAGATGATATCTCATAGTTGTTTTGATATGCATCTCTCTTAGATCTAGGGATTTTGAACATTTCTTCATGTGTTTGTTTACCATCTGAATGTCTTCTTTAGTGAAGTGTCTGTTCATATCCCGTGCCCATTTTTCAATTGGGTTATTTATTTTATCTTCTTGTGGTGCTCAAGTATTTTATAAATTCTAGATATAATTCCCTTGTCAGACACGTCATTACCAAATATTTTTTTCCCAGTCTGTGGCTTCCTTTTTACCCTGTTGGAGAAGTTTTTGGATGTGAATAGGGATTTAAGTTTTAGAAGGTCCCATTCATCTATTTTATCCTCTCCTAGCTGTAGATTTTTTAGGATGCTTGGAAGACTGTTTATGTTGTGAATTAGGACTTCTAAAGTTCTTCCGAGCTTTTCTTTAATGAAGTTTATGGTCCTTGGTTTTATTCCTAGGTCCATAATCCACTTTGAACTGGTTTTTATTATTTGAATTAAGTAATTTTACTATTGTTTTAATTGTTGTTGTTATGTGCTGTCAAGTCGCTTGCTACTCAAAGTATACCCTATATACAACAGCTCTGAACCGTGTTCTATCCTGTGCCAACCTTATTGTCTCTGACACACTTACTTCCATTACCCTAGTTGCTGAATCAATCCACCTCATCAAGGGTCTTCCTTTTTTAATGCTGTCTCTCCACCCTTCCAAGCATGATGTCCCTTTCAAAGGACTGGTTCCTCCTTGCAACATGCCCAAAGTATGTCAGATGAAGCTTCAGAATCCTTGCCTCCAAGGAGCATCCTGGTTTTGCCCTCTCTAGGACAAACCTGTTTGTTCTCCTAGCAATCAATGGCATGTTTTAATTAGGTACTCTTAACAAGGCTTCATCTGGCATACTTTGGTCATGTTGTAAGGAGACACTGGTCCTTGGAGAAGGACATCATGCTTGGGAGGGTGGAGGGACAGCACAGAAGGGGAAAACCCTTCTCTAAGGTGGATTGATTCAGTGATTGGGGTAATTGGGATGGGTGTGTCAGAGACAATGAGATTGGCACAGGACAGAGCAGAGTTTAGAGCTGTTGTACCTAGGGTCACTATGATCACAAGCGACTCAACAACAACTCTTGACATATATCTTGTCTATTTTAAATTCTAAGAGCAAAAGGGTTGCATTTTTATTTGGAAGGCAGAAATGTATAGGTAAGGATGAATGGAAATGGGAACCACCAGGAAGAAGTGCAAACATTTTTGTTACATTGTAGGAATTGCAGTCTTAAGTTTTGAATAAACTGTGTAACATGAATTATTGAATGAAAAACTACATGCTGCTATCTTTCACTCAAACCACAAGGAAAAGTTAAAAATATGCTCACTCTGAGTACACTGTATCTTTAAGAAAAGTGTTGACTGCTTCAGGTCACAAAGGCACTATTTAGAGCACACCAAGTGGGACCATGTGTCCAGCAGGTCACACAGTCATGTGCCTCATTCTAAGTGGGCAATTCACATTCTACCTCTGGAAGGATAAAGCCTATAGTATCAAAAGACATTTCCATTTGCAATAACTCCTGTCAGATAGCCCAGCAGCAAATGTCAGTTCTCCTTAAGAAAAATGGCTCAAATCAAACTAAATGGCAGTTCCTGTTTCCTTCCACTACAGACATTTTTTAAGAAAGTAAAGAAGTATCCAAGCCTGGAAATTTCAGAATATAAAGTTGTGAAGCTTGTATATCCAAAATATTTTTCCTGCTACCTAGGCATAAACTGAGCTGTTGACACAGGGTTCTTTTTAATGTCTACAGATTAAATTGATGAAAGACAACAAGCTAGGTCTAGATGGCTTAAGTGTTCCCCCCAAACCAGGAGGAGCTCATAGAATATTAACTTGAAAAGTTTGCCAAACTCTAATTTGGGTACATTACTTAACTAAACCCACTCGCCTTCAATCAAGACAAAATTTCTGCATGCCCTTCAAGAGTTACTCGCGACCTTTCCAGAGCTCAGCATAAATCATGTTTCACCTTAAGTTGTGTCTTTTGACTTCAAGGGAGTAGGTGGATAATCAAATTCAGAATCTGGCCTAAAAGGCCCCAGCAGGTTAGTAGACAAAATAACAATTCGTAAATCTATTTTCTCTTTTCTTAAGAGTAAAGGCCAGTAAAAACTGTCTTCAAGACCCAGGGAGTTTGAGCGCAAGCAAAACCTGGGGGCACCAGGACGAAAAGCAGAAGGAACCAAGTTTTGGTAATAACATAGATCGTACGTTGCCTTCTCTGACATAATTGTTTTTCCAAATTACTGAAGCGTCTCATCCAAACCATTTCAAGTGAAAGGTTAGTCGTTCAATCCTCGTCCCTGAAGTGTATCTCCTCACACCCTTCTTATCACATTCACCTTCACCTCCAAAGCTGAAAGACTGTTAACCCATACACTCTAAGGACCACTGTGGGTAGGGGACAGTGGTTGCCTAGACGAAAGTGACGCCAAAAACATTCTAAACTCGCACATCTGATCTCTGGCTTTTGTGGCCCAAGCGGGAGGCCAAACAGGTTAAAGCAGCTGGTGGAAACCTGTTCCCAGAGAGAGAGGACTAAACTAGGGTGTGAGGTGAGGGAGGGGACGGCGCGATTAGTAAAAGGAAGTCTCACTCCCTAAGATCACCTTGCACTGACCTAGTTGAACCAAGAAGGAAGAAACCCCAGCTGCTAAGGAGAAGGACCGGGGTGTGGGGTTAGGATGGTGGGGTGGTGGAGGCGGTGGGTGGGGCCATGACTGGAGGCGGGGCCTCGAGCGGGATCTTTCTTTGATTCGTTGACAGACTTGAGCCGGAAGCGGCCGGGAGGCGTTGGCGGCAGCGGCGGCGCCGCACGTGGTGACGTGTGAGGGAGTGCGGTACGGGCGGGGGGCCGGGGCCGCAGTATCTCCCGGACGCGCGTGGAGGTCAGACGTGGGGAGGTGCTCCGCTCGTTTTCTCGTCTTGCCGCTGTGTTAGCGAGGGATCACGTTCCTGAGAACCCTCGGGAGTGCCCCGACCTGCTCGCAGCCTCCAAGGACTGGCCGCTGGTCCTCCTTCGCGATCGTTCCCCTCCCTCCTTGGTCTCGAGGCGCTTTCCGTTGGGCCGATTCCCGCCCTCTTCCTCCTGCTCCCCTTCGAAGCTTCAGAGATGAATTTTTCCATCTCTACAGAGAGGAACCAGGTAATGGCTATCTTTTTCTACCGAGTGCGGAAGGGGGCACGGGTTGCAGGGAGGGAGGCGCGGAGCGGTGCCCTGATCTCGGAGGGAAGACGCCTCAGGCCGACGCCGCCTCCCTCTGGGGCGCGCAGCCGGCGCCACGCGGGCTTCGCGTTCGCTGCGCTGCCATGGTTGCTGGATCGCCTTGCGGCCGAGGGCGGGCGCTGGCCGCTTGGGAGAGCGCGTTGAGATTTGTGTTTGTTCTCCCTGCGGGGGCTGGGCAAACAAAGCGAGATGAACTTGAGCTTTTTTTCCCACCTCTCAAAGGCTCCCTAGGGTCGCGCCTGGGGACCACGGGGCTGGGATGACCCTCCTGAAGCAGAGACGCGGGAATCTCCCCTGCCCTGCTGTCAGGAGTTGGACCTCTGCTCGAGGTCGGGGCTTTCATCGGTGAGACTGGCACAGCCAGCGTATATGACACAGCGGTTTCTTGGGTCTGGAGCGGGGAGGCACTGTGTCCCTGATCGCCGTGGGCCGCGGGGTCCTTTGTTCCCGCTCCACGTTGCCCGCTTTTCTTGCCAAGCGCGGGGAGAAGGGGGCGGGAGGAAGGAGGGAGCGAGCGGCTGCCCTGACGTGTCGGCTCTGAGTGACTGTGCGGCCGGCCAATCCCGGGCGGAGGTGTGCGGGCGCCGCGCGCCTTGCCGCTCAGCCTTCCGAGTGGGCGCTTGTTGAGTCTCGAGGGGTGGAAGGCCCCGGCGGCTCAGGCCAGCCAGTCTAGGGCTCTCCGGATTTTCCTTTTTAACTAAACAAGTCGGTGGAAATGTTTGCTCTTTTTCTATCCTTCCACGTATTTTGCAGAGTCCTGATGATAGGACGATGTCAAATAATAGTAGACTGAGAGTTGCACGCAGGCAAACTTGAATCCTAAGCATTTTTTAATTATACTACATAGTAGATCTGCTGGCTTGAGACTGCTGACTATTTGGACAGTGTATATAGTAAATTGAGAGGAAACTACTCTTATAAGGTATGTTTTGTTAATATTTGTTGTCAATGATGGAGGATTAGAACAGCTTAGCATTAAGCCTGTTCTTTGAGGACTTGTGTATTATGATCTATAGAAAACGAAAGATGATGCTCATGGTCTTAAAAGAGCTAAGAAATTAATTTGCAACATAAGTGAATACTGCTATCA